TGGGAGAGATGGGAGAGATGGGAGGGGGGGAGATGGTTGGTGGGTGGGTGAGTGTGGGGGAGGGGGAGGGGGGGAGGTGGAAGGGGGAGGGGAGGGTAAGGGGAGGAATTAGGGATCTTACTCAATTGAGAGAATGTAAGAGGACTAAGGGGAGACAGTACTTTTAAGTTTCATGCTGATTTTAAAATATAGAACTTCATGTAAGGTCATTGCTTCTAGTTGTTGAAGTGATCAGGCAGGATTTCTTTGGCTTGAGGATTGGAATTGAAAGATCATGGGCAGACTTTTATTTAGAGTCGAGCCTGGGAAGTGTTATGTGGAAGTCATTGAAGAGGTTGGAAGGGAAGTTGTTTGAGAAATAGAATTTTGTAGATTGCACCTACTGAAGTCATAACAGGATTTAAATAAAGATTGGGTTGGTTTGGTTGAAGCACAGAAGACATTGAAAAGTTCTTACCAATCTTGAGTTGTCAATTGAGGTAAATAATTTTGCTTGGGGAACATTAATTTTTTGTGGATTAAATAATGACTATTGAGGATGAGATGGAGAGACTGTTGTGCCAATGAGTCACAGGCATGTGTCTGAGGATTACTTAATTTTAGGTTGATTTATGTCCATATTTGACACTGCCCTTGGAATGTCTCCAGTGTCCAATCATGGAAGTGAATGAGAAGGCAATTTGGATTAATGGGTATGTAGCCTATTCATCCAGTGAGTCAGAATTTGAAAGTGAAGGAGAATTAGAATGGCTTTTAGAGGCATTGATATAGGAAGGCATAATATATTAAAATTCAAAGTAAATTTAAGTACAGGACAAGTGAGAACTCATTAATGGAACAGGAGATGGAAACCCAGGGTTAATTTAACTGGAGGGGCGAAAGGCATTTATTGCAGGTGTATGAACAAGAAACTGCCACCGCCCTTTTAATTTTTTTTATATCCCACACAGGATTTCTCCATTGACCACTTTTACAATTGGGATAACCCACCTTCCTTTCCAATGTTTTGCCCTTTGCATATATTTTTTTCTCAGACAGGACAAGACATTACTAAAATTTTCCTATTCATCATTTCTTGTTTTTACCTGGATTTTGCCATCCTCTTTGTAGGTTTTGTTTTCTTTCTTAACGGGGACATTCATCACCAAAATCCCTCATTTGTCCATTGGTTTTTCTGCCCTGGGAAGGTATTCTATAAAGGATTATGAAGCTAAGAGTATAGGACTCAAGGCCACTCTATTAAAGGTTATGAAGATGAAGGACTAATCACCCCACTATCATTTGCTTTTATAAATTTTACCCATACAGGACCTTTCTCTCCCTTGGAACTTCTGCATTTGTGGTCATCCATCATCTGTTTCATCCACTTGCCTTTTTTTTTTAAATAGCTGGTTCACACATCACCCATGTTCTCCCTTTTGTTCATTACAGGATCTTCTACCATGGAAATTTTGTAATACGGTCTCATTTTGACCTTTTTACCCTAAGTAGGTTTTGTTTTCTTTCCTTTCCTCAGAGGACATACATTGCTGAATTCCCCAAGGTCTTTGTTTCAAGATTTTCTGTCTTTGGAAAGTATTCACCTGAGGGTCATGAAGAGTTAGGAATGAAGAGCTAAAGGCATCTGCTGGTTTATGAGGCTTCCCCCCTCTTTCATTTCTTCTTTTAATTTCCATGCAGGATTTTTCGCCCTTGGCTGCACTTCTGTGCGTGTTCTCTCATCATGTTGTCATCAGTGGTTTTTTTATAATTAGGGATTGGCAGGTCCATGTGTCACCTGTATTTTCCTTCTTCCTTAGAAATATCATTCATTCCCATTTCTTTCTCTCTCCATGTAGATGTTTTTTCCTTTCCCAACAGAGGACAGGCATTGCCAGAATTCTCAGTTTGTTCGTTTCAGGTTTTTCTGCTTTGGGAAGATATTCAGTCGAGGATGATGAAGAGTTAGGAGTGAATGTTACCTGTGTAATAGGTTTTGTTTTACTTTTCACAGGTTTCATTCCATTGAAAAAGGTTAAAGGGATCCTTTTTCCTCCAGCAGAGGGGGAAAATGATGCAACTAATGTCACAGAGGTGAGTCTTCTAAACAGTATCCTTAAATTTGATATTTTCCATGGGACTATTGGATTTAATCAATATTCAAGAATGGTAAGTTGAGTTTTGGAAAAAGTGTACTTCTGGAAGAATGACATACATTGGGGGAATAGGGTAACTTGGGGGAATATTGCCATTGGGGTAATATGGCCCTTCGCAATGAATCCCCTGACAGGCTGAAGAATTACTTTGGGCAAATCATAAAAATAGTTTTATCAAAGAGTACATGTGATTGGCAAAACGTTTAGACCTGCTCATTAATCCAGTTCTCCCTGTGATTCGGGATATTCGGGACTTGAAAGTCATATGCATGCGGTTCTTCAGTGCATGATCCTAAAGTTAAAGTGAGCCTCAAGCAACTTAAACATATATATCTTACTAGCAGCATGGATACAGAAACCATTAGTTAGAAGTTATTCTATGGTCCCTCCAAAGTCATTGTAGAAAGTGCTAGCCCCTTCACTTGCGGTTTGTAGACAGTGTTGTCAATTTTGTCATGAAGCTCAATATGGGGGAATGTGGCCATCTTGATTTGGGGTAATATGGACACATCCTTCATTTCATGGTAGCACTGCACTGACCAATTGGTAATGTCAGCTTCCTTTCGTGTGGTACCTCAGACAGCAAAGGATTGTCCTATGCACTCCTGGATGTATGTACAGGACATCTGGATGAAATATGCAGTTAATGAGGAAGTTCTGCATGAGGATATGGTCATGCACCTGGACATTCTCTTGACGGGTCCCGAAATTTTCATGGTATGAAATTTGAAGATAATTAAATGCCCCTTGTACAAGAAAGGTAAAAAGGCATTCTGTGAATTTTTTGGCACTATTTGTGCATGCATGCAAAAACTTAACACTTTCTTTCAAATGTAATCCATTTCACACTCGTAGCACATGTTCATTTTAATTCATGCTTGATCACTCCTCATACACACGCAGTCTCTAGAGTCTATAGTTTCTCAATCACGTGCAATGATACTCAAAAGCCGAAGCATTACAATCCTGCTTTCCATGATGGTTCCTCAAGTCAGGTAATGATGTCAACTTCTTTGCTTCTTCTCAATGCAGTTAGTGTTTTTTTTTCAACTGCTAATCGTCCTTTATTATGTTTCAAGGTACTTGCATGTTCCAGCATATTCCTCACATTCCTGGAAATTCTGGAGTTGTTTTTTTCAGAAGTAGCCATATTCCCCCAACTCGATGGGTAATATGGCCTCTTGAGACAAACTTGGAAAGGATCCAAAGGTGCAATATCCTTGTGGTTTTTTGCATGTGCCTTGCTGGAATTTAGTAAATGAGATATAAATCAATATTTTAGAGGCATTGTAAAAGTCAAATTCGACCTCGATGGGCTGTTACGACCAGATTTCATTTTCTAGGGCCATATTCCCCCAAATTACCTTACCCCCAATGACAGGATAACTGAGAATTAATTTTTCATAAGAACTGAACAAATTCCAAACTTGGTGAAAAATGAATTACATCCTCATAGTTAGCTCTTTGACATATTCATGTTTTTTTTCCTTATAGTTTTTCCTATTTGTAAGATCTGTGAAGCATCTACCTCATTCTTTTAATGTCTTGTTTGTCTGGTATTACTTACATTTTAAGCAGTAAAGACTTCTGCAAACTCCATTCTTGGATCAAGGTTTTCTTAAAGTTATTAAATAAAACTGCAATTCAATGCTAATGATCCATATGGCAAGTAGTGTTTCCCAACAGTGACCATAAATACAGTGTAATATTTGTATCCAGTGAGTTTCATGAAATGCAAAAGTTTGAATAAGGTTTCATGTTACAGGTCAACAGCTTGGTGATGGGATTTTGTGCCTTGAGAGGATATACGAAAGCTCTTACTGCTGCAGGAAGGATTCTTCATTCTGGTCAGTTGAAGCACATTTTTCTTTCAGCCTTAGCCATTGCATTAGTTTTTTTTTCAACTAGAAATAGCTTGAATGAATTAGATGGGAGGCTTTCATGGTACTAGGTTTGCTTTCTTATTTTTGTATGAGTTTTTGACATAGTTGGCAAGACCATTTCTTATGTAAGTGCTTTTCATTATCAAAACTCTTCTCCAGCCATATGCCTTTAAGATGGATGTCATGGTTGAGTTCATCTGTTCATCTCCAGGCACTGTACATCCCTCACTCCATTTAGTTTTTGTAAAGGCATTTGCACAGTTAATGTTTGTTCACTGTTTCTGCTTTAATTCCAAAACCTTGAGGGATATTGAAAGGGATAATTTTAAAATTAAATTACTTGCAATTTTTTAGGACCTGTGTGTCATTAATGAAAATACAATAGAAGTGAAGCATGCAATTTTGTTAATAATATGAAAATTAAGTATAGTATAAATGCAATAAATTTTAATATTAACTAAAACAAGTGATTGTTAATATCTAGTTCCATCTAATAACTAAGGTGGATATTGGGTCTTCTGAGTATGTTTATGCCAATTTTCAGCTTATCAGAGCATGGATTTAATGAGTAACCAATGGTATTAATTTCTTTAATTATTTTTCTTGTCATGGATAGGTGTCTGCTCTGTGTTGAGTGGATGCTTCATTATAAGTGCTTATATAGTCTTCCTTTTCTGGGATACAAGTTGAATTCATCTTCTGATACGTAATTGACATTTTATTATACTTTGTCTTCTATTATGCTATCTGATCCTCTCCCTACCATCTGCCATTTATTATAGGGTGAACTCTTGCACTTGATTGCATGTTCTATTGACTTCTTCATTTTCATACTAAGATGTGCATCCCAATGTTTTCCCTATGTTCGAATTGTTTTCTCTGTGGGAATTTCCTCATAATGTAATATCTTCTACAGGATTTTAATTCTACTGCTTAATATCCTGTCAGCAACGCTTGCATCCTCCAACAGAAGCAACATCCTTTTCCCACATCATGGTAGGTGAATGTGGTGTCATGTTTTGATTAAAGCAATATTATTTCTAGTCTCATGCAGAGCATGTGTTTTCTCATGGAACAGGTGTGAGCGGGGGATTTAAGATCCCTATTGGCCAAGTAGTTCTCCTGCCTCATTGCCCCTTGAGCAATATTGCACGAATCATCTTGGCTTTCTCACCCAACTCTGCATTGATGTCCCTCTACAATGCTTCCAAGATACCTACCATTGGCTATGCAGATGGTTGGTAACTTTCTCAGGTATGAGCATCTTTTCATATCACTTCTGACTTCAAAGATTTATTATTTCATGATACTGGGTATTTTAAATGAAATTGTCTGACTTAGTGTTCATTGACTATTGACTTTTGACATTGACATATGCATATTGCATGACAACTCTATAGACCATCTTTGGATTTACTAATTAACTTGTTCCCTCACAGGCTTTGTTGGTATTGTCAAGGACAGTATCATCCAATTTTCAGTGATGGTTATGCTTTGATGTGCATGTGCATGGCATGGTGCAACTTCCTGATATTAATCATATTTATAATTTTTTCAGAATTTCATCAACACCTTCACCATCCAAGTCTTCTATCTACAGAAATGATTCATTTTAATTGAATTATTCTATGAGCTCCTGATGTGACATGCTGATCTGATAGTTCCTATTTCAAGTGTATGTGCATGTGAGAAAGAGATACTAATCATGCCATTTGCTTTTAAGGTTTTATTTTACTTGTGGTTGTGAGGGATTCAACCTCATGACTGCCATTCATTATTGATTGTAATTGTGCCCCAAATGGAAATATTATATCGTTGGATTTTCCCCATGTTTATTCATCAGCCAGACCATTTCTTATCTCATCTTCACTGATGCATTTGTTTGAATTGTATTTGAATTTTCTTAATTGAGAAAAGTGGTATTCTTTGAGTTTTCGAAATGAATGTTTGAGGCTATTAATGTGACTGAGTTTGTACAGATCTATTTGTATTTGTTTAGTTTGTTTCCCCCCCCCTGAAATGAGTTTTATTAGTTAATTCCATCTTTTGGTATTTTCCTGAGTGATATTTTTTTTTATTTTTTGCATGAGCCTATTTTCCTCTATTCAGTGATGTTTATAGTGGTATGTTTTTGCTTTGTACAGCACTGCTTCTTAACCTACTAATACACTGTGTGTAGATGCATTAACACATTTGTGCTGAAATGGGGGCCCCCATGATTCTTCTTCTTTCCAGTTATAGGAGCAGTATACCCTTGTGATCCCTGGGAATCATAACTTATTAATTCTGTAATTAATTGAATTAGAATTGAATTAGAAGCTGGATGGATTTGCCAGCAAATGACATTGGCATGCCCATCTTCTTCTAGAGATGGTTTACTCTACCAGGATTTGCAAGGCTATGCTGTTGAACCATGCCGCTCATGGTAACGCTGCTGCCAGTTACCTCATGCATATTGCTGGGATAATTGTGAATTTCAGCTTAGTTGAAGAAGTGATTGATCATCCACCATTTTTGCAGACATAATAATCACAGTGATATGCTAAGGTGCAGTGGAAACACTGGCATTCTATCTCATAGTAGGTTGGTGATGGGATTTGAAAACATGTAATTTCCCAATTGTAATTAAATGTTCCAGGCCTTTTATGCCTGAAGCATCATTGTCAAAATTATAACTACATCACAATATAATTTTCTCCCGTTGTTCTGTACTGAAAGAGTTCACTTCTCTACAAATCAAGAATCTGTGATTTATTAGTTATACCTCATTTTTGCCAGGTGCAATCGAGTTTGGAGTCGTATGGCTGCTGTGATGAATGAAAGCTGGAGTCCTCTGATCCATGATGCTGAAGAGGAACATTGGGAGGCTCTGTTCTGCAAGTTGCCAGTGGAAGGAGGACCTTTCTCCTTTTGAATTTTGCAGACCTCATTTGATTTCAAGAACCAGCTATGATTCGATTTTTGACATGACATTGATGTTCTAGTTCTAATCACACTTGCTTCACCCCTCTGTTACTCACATACCACCCACCCCATATATTTCCCTATCATTTCTCATCATTTTTAATGGGTGACATGCACCAGATCTGCTTAAATTTAACTGACCCATTTTCATAATGGGCGTCTATGGGAATGTTTATCTTGGTTAAACTGATTCATATAGGGAACCATTGTGTGATCAGATCAGTTTAGCTTAAACGGATTCGGTGCATGTCACCCGTTATGGAATGTGGAGAACTTGTTCATTTTTATTTTTGAAATACAGTTGTGTTCCATTGTGTGGTGGTGTTGGATGTGCTTCAAGATGTATGCAGCTTACTTGGAAAGTAATTGCTTGTCCTGTCCAGCCCAGATAATAGCCATTTCATGTAATGTTAAACTGCTTACTAAACTGCCTACCTAGTTGAGTCATTATTGATGGATTTTTAGATGGATAATTGAACCTTCTAATGCTAATTTTCCAATGTGCTATTGAATTTCATATTACTCTTTGAGGATCGTCTCATATTCATCTGACTATATCTTTTTGGCAGGCAAGGATTGTTATACTGCTGGAAGAACTTATGATAATGTGGTAAAGTGATCAACGACATTGTGAAAGGAAATGTGGCTCGTTATATATTGGAAATCTCTAGGTTTTAAATTGATGGATTGAAACCGAATTGCATGCTTCCTGGAACTAAGATGTAATAGTTACGGGGTTTTATGGAAAATTTTGAGCATTCGAGGAATTCCCGGTGAGTACGCCGAAACGGAAGTACGTCGACACAGAAGAGAAGCGACACAATGAAATCGATATGAAACTACGTCGATACAGAAAAGCATCGACAAGGAGCAGCATCGAACGGAATTACTTCGACAAAACTGCTACTCGGAATGAAACGGAGAGAAGTCCACCGACGCAGAATTGGATCGACCGGAACATACCTGGATTTATGGAATAACCAAGATAGGAACAACACCACCAAAGGATTGCACCTACGAAGGGAATAGTTGGGTGTGGGTGTAGGGGTTGGTTGCAACAATGTCACGTAGATGTCGTGGCGTGCCGTTCGCAACACAGGTCAGCATGACCAGCTGCTTATTGTGGGACACTGGTGACTACGGCCATGGCGGGACTTCGGTGGTGATTCTGGAGTCAGATCATTTTCTGCGATGTTCAATTCCTGACGTTCTTGAAAGCAGGCTGATAATCTGTACCGAGGAAGAGTTGGACATCGGTGTTTCACTCGCGTTACTCCGTCACGGAAACATCGAAACGGAACTGCTTCGACAAGTAACGGGTTCGTACCGACATGGAACAACATCGAACGTAACCGCGCCGACGCGGAATTAACCTCCACGACATTTTTTCGTGTCGCCATTTTTCGGGTGTCGATTTTACTCCTTCCGACGTTACTCCGCGTCACCAGAATTCCCGCCCTCTGGATCGAGTTTCCAAAGGGAAAACAATCGCCAAGCGAACTCGAAGCGCCCGCGTCGTCGAGCTTGAAAGGAGGAGGACGATGGGGCTGATTTTGTAAATTGAAAGCCCCTAATGTGCTGAGAAGAATCATTGCCAGTAAGTGACGAGCATTAATCCAAATTGGTTAGGTTCTTTCTTTTCTGGCTGTATTTCATCACATCTGGAACGTGCGAATTTTGCTTTACACCTAATTTTAATTACATCTAATTAAATTATATTGGACCATTCTCTGTAAAATTCTCGCTAGTGATGTGCGGGGGAGCGATCGTGTTTTCCTTTCACCAGACTGAGTCAACCGGCACGTGCCCCTAATTATTGTTTATCGGCAGGGTTACGAAGTTCCCTGGACTGAACGCGTTTGAGACGATCGGATTCCGTCGTCATCAAATACGTTAACTTCGAAAACGAGAGTAATTAATTAAATAAATTTAAAATTAAATTTGGAAGCCCCCGTTTCGGTCTAGCGCATCACCGGAAATCTTGCATCTTTCAGGCGAAACTCGTCTTTCCAGTTTCCGACTCCGACTAGTGGGGTGGGGGGGGGGGGGGGGGGGGGGGAAATGTTCTCCCGGCCACAGACTCTTCCTCTTTGAGAGTCCTCACCTCGTGGCCGAAGGTGCTCCATCCTGGATCTGGAGGGAGGTCTTCTCGAGGAGGCGGAAACGGAATATTCTGCAGGGCGACCAGGAAAACTTGCGGTGGAATAAGGAAATTGGGATTGAAAGGACGAGAACGTTTTCTTTCGAAGTGAATTGGTCGTTCCGCAAGGACGGACAGTCGATCGGGCGTTTCATTTGGACGTTCTGAAAACGCCTAAGAGATTGGAGCTCGAGGGAATTCTCGGTCGAGCACGGCTGCCCGCTTTACGTTATACCGCTCTCGTGACATTCACGGAAATGCAGGTGTGAGGAGATGTCGATCGTTCGCGTTTCGATGATGAACATCGAATGACTTTGAAGAGAACATTTTTGAAGACGTGGAAACTTCTCGTGGTCGAAAGGTTCTGCGATACGACGAGCATCAGAGCCGGCGACTTCGACCCGAGGTTCCGTGAAACGTCACGCGTCTGACTCTTTTCTCTGCCTCTATTCCCGGGCCTGGGCTTAAAAGTGAGGAATAAGCGCCAGACTTGGGTTCGAACCCTGCCGCGGGAGCCCGAACGAGGCGCCCATCTGCCTCCTTGTATGCGGCTGCCCCAACTGTGGGTGGGTTGTGGGTTGTGAGTTGTGGGGGGGGGGGGGGGGGGGGGGGGGGGAATTCTGTTCTGCTGTGGCCTCCTGCCTCCCACGACGTCGTTAGGGCCGAACTGCTCAGCCCTGTCGTAGTTCGCTACGTTCCGCTGGCTGCTGCTTGCCCGAGAGTGACGTCATTTAATGACGCTGCCGTGAATAGCGCCAACGGGAAAAGGCGTCCATGCCAACAGCTGGAGAAAAGATGCCCCTTAGGGCGTGTGGCTCACGTGGTGCAATATGGGCGCGCCAGGCCAGGCTTTCAAAACATGTGAGCCAACTCTGAGCTTCAGGTTCGAGATGCTGGTTTCGAACAAGTCATGCCGTGATTAATCTGTATCATTCGAAATGTTGCCATGACTAAGCCATGGACATTCGGAAGATGCGATCCATGAAGTCAACTTCGTCGCAAATTACCCGGTTTTCCATTTCAAGTCCGACACGCCCGGATCCTAAACTCGAGCTGGGCCTAGGTGTATTTTAAAACCATATAATTAAGACTTACTTCAAGCTTGCCTTGCATCCAGTTATGTCTAGGGTTCGTTAGCTACCACTATCCTCATAAATATACCAATTATACCTGCCTTAAAGAGAGGGTTTAAAGTTCAAACGTGTATTCCGAATGCTGTGGTTTCCTGTGCCCTTGCTGTTTCATTTGGATTTTAATACCTTAATATGTGTTTTATACAGTTGGGAAGTCTAATCAATTGGGTATAATGTGAATGAGGGTCCTGCTTCTGCAGGGACCTGAAACTGGTAGGCATGAAGGGATTGCTTGGGATGTTAGAGAGATGCTTGGACTGCCTCGGAGTTGATTAGATCCAGAGGAGCCCTGAATATAATCAGTCACAATTGTGAAACACCTGACACAAGTTTACATTTTTCTTCTTGCCTTTTTTTTTTTTGAAGCAGCANATTGTGAAACACCTGACACAAGTTTACATTTTTCTTCTTGCCTTTTTTTTTTTTTTTTTTTAAAGGAGCAGGTGGAACTGCTCGATCATAACTCTAATACGACCCAAAGACCATGCATCTTTATGGGAATTCTGGCTTTCACTTCAGTAATTAGATATATTTTGTGACATGTCTCAGGTATCAAGCTTCACCAGGCCTACTAGTCTTGTCTATTTTATGATTGATCTATTTAAAGTTTTAGTTAGAACTAGTATATGTGATCCTGTGGTTGAAACAGATAGGCATGGCAACAATCTTTGATGTGGAGTTGGTGGGACTTCAGTATAGTTCTACTGAGTGTTAAGCATACAATGCTTAAGATGCAAGGGTATGTAGCCCTCACTTCTTGTCAGTCATGTGATAGATAAATTTCTTACAGTTGCAACCAACTCTGTGGCAGATGTTTGTTTTTGTGTTGGAGCATTGTGCAATGCTAGACATGTAACATTCACTGGAGAAAAAGATGAAACCATTCACTACTTAAAAAATTTTTTAAATAGCAGTTTTCAAGTGTTTCGAATTGACTGTTTTGTTCTGAGGTAGCCCTCCTCCAGTGACTAAAGTATTGAAGCTATAAAAAATAAACCTAATGCATCATGAGAAAGGGAAATTATTTTTTAATTGAATCATCTACTTTTTATAATTCACATTCACCTGTGTATACAATTACTTTGAGATAAGTGGCATAAGAAGAGAAGAGACACTGAAAGAGTTCTATGTCTTCTTCCATGTCCTTCAACACTTTGCTGATGTTGTTTTGTAAGGTTTCCCAGGAGAATCAGTGTTGTTTCCTTTTTTGGTTGCATTATGGCCGCAACTTTCTCTTTTCAAAATAATTCCAATGTTCTCAGCATTCAAATCAGAGGAGCTTCCAGGTCATTCCACATTTCGAAAGATGTTGACTGATCTTTTGTGTAACTCATGAATGGGAAAAGAAATTTGACCCCAGCATCACAAGCTTCCAGAAACATAATTATATGCATGTGAGTGATGAGTCTTCTTTCTTACCATCATTTGGCTTTTGAAATGACAAAATTGATTTGATTGGAGCTAAAATTAAATGAGGAATCCATTAATATCCTTGTTGTTTTACCAGCTCTTACAGGCTGTGAAGGGACAGTATGGGCTGTGGGGGGATGGCAAAGCAACCTCATTTTTTTCTATTAATTGTCTAACTAGTGTCTCATGTTTAATTAGTAAGCTAGTATCTCATGTCTAACTTGTTACCTAATGTCCAGAATATAACTAATTTGGCAATATTCAGACTTCACAATGCCCTTTCTTTTGTTTAGTCTTACAGGGGAATATGTTGACTCCTCTACATCAAATCATGATCAAAATGTTTTTGTACAAGATTAGTGTCTTGATTCAGATTACTTCCACAAGAAATATACTTTAGATTGCTAGGTTTTGTTCAGGTGGTTTAAGCCCCTCAGCAGTTTCCACTGCAGGTAGTGTGAAGTACCCAGAAATTTCTATAGATGACAATAAAATTCATTTTGAGTCTCATATCAATCACATATACCCTACAGCAACAGTAACAAGTGGAATATTCAAAACATGTATGCTTATCTGTAACAATGAGGGCATACCCTTTCCCTGATGCGTTAACATGTCAATAACAGTTAAAAGTCATGCAAACTTAGTGGCATCTGTGATAGTAACACAAATTACCAAATTGCAATTACAGTAAAACCTTTGATTGCTTAAACTGCCATAGCTTATAACCTACAGCACCTTATTTGGGTTTGGGCCAAAGCATATAAGCCAAGGCAGGTTTTACTGTAACTGGATTGTGACATGTGACCACAGATTTGCTTGAAAGGGATTGAGCTCCTCTCTTTGGTTCTGCTGGACTGTAAATGGAACCCTCAGTTCTGACCATGAATGAACTCCCCTATATTTACTGGTTGTTGGTCTGAGGGAAATCATTTGAAATGAGCATGTAAATGTTCTTTAATACCTCTGTGTACAAAACTAAGAAAATTTTATTAATAGCAATAGCTTAATGGTAACAGAGTTGAGACAAAGCATGACCATCTTGGATTCTTCTTAACTCATTGACCACCACCATTTTTTTTTATTCACATGCCACAGAAGTATGAAAAAAAGTTAAAAAATTATTCATATCCAGTATTTCATATTTTGTACTCACAGTCACAGAAATTGAAAAAAAAGTATGATGGAAATAGTACACAGTCCAGTCATATTAATGTGACCACCGGTCAATAGCCGGAATAACCACCTTTCGCAGCGCGGACAGCTGCGAGACGTGCAGGAAGAGAGTCAGTGAGGTTCTGGAAGGTACCCACGGGGATGGCGAGCCATGCCGACTCCAGTGCCGTGGCCAGTGCTTCCCTCCGACACCCTTGCGATACCCTCCACTGCGAGTGCTGCCGCCTGCCTTCTGTGATTGGTGATTTGAAGTTGACGTCGAAACTAGGTAGTGGTCACATTAATATGACTGGACTGTGTAATATCCAGTACTCCATCATGCAATGTTAGAAATCAGAGATATCTCTTACTAGGTGTCTGACATATGAAAAGATAGTACGAGATATCTTGTACTTGCCGGTCGATGTGTTAATCAAAGCTGATGCTGCCCTAAAGCCAAAGTGAGGAACTGCATGAAATTAATTGAATGTAGTGGATGTGATTGGTGTTTACATCTTACAGCAACTGTTGGTGGTCATGTGAAGTATCCCACTATGCCAACTTCTACAGAACAAGAATTGCAAATTTATGCGGAAGGAACAGATGCTTAGGAAAGTAAGCTCATAGAAGAAATGACTAAGCTCTCTGAAGCCTCTGTGGTAATGAAAGTTCCTGGATTCTATTCAGCAAGGTAAATTTCTTTTGACTGCATTTGGGATTCAAGTTGTTGTCATGAGAAGATACACTGAGCAAGCATTGGTTGACCTCTACTGATGAAGTAGAGTGGATTTCTTTGCTCAGTCACATTTTCCTATTCTTCAAATCTCAAGATTTATCTATCTCCTGTATTGGAGGTGTACATTGGAGTATACAAGTTAACTTGGAATAGGTTGTTGGAGGAAGCTTTCCACTTGACTTATGTTATGGTTATGTATTTATGCAATGGAGGTGATCTGCAAATGTCTGCTTTTGATGGCCCTCCCAAGTGTTCATCAAGTCCAATATCAGAATGGCAGTTCTGAAGGGCCATGGAATGGCAGAATTGGCTACTCTGCACTTGCATTCTGTGTCTTGTTGGGATTTTGAAGAATCTGTATTTTGAACACTTCTCTCTGTCATGCCACCTTCAATCTTCTAGCAACTTCAGTAAGTTATTGCTGAAGAACAGGACCTGGAAAATTCTTTACATTTCTTGCATGCCTTTTGCCTTATAGCAATATGAATGTGATTTTGCCTTACTGCCTTCCAGTTGTGATCTATTGTTTTTTCACTGTACTCTTTTTTTTTTTTAAGCCGGTGGGAGAAGGTGGAATGTTAAGTGCTGGTGGATTTGTTATGTTTGGCTATGCAGATGTAGTTTTTTTGTTGTTGGCAGAAGTGCTTTTGAAAATAAATGTTTTCTTCTGTTACTTTTATGTTAATTGGATTAGGATCTAATAGATATATTAACTCATTTCTTTTCAAATAGTGCATCTGCTTTGGAATTTACTTATTTCTGACATATTTCTAACTTTCTACCTACTGAGTCTGAGGATTGAACTTCAACCCCTATCATTAATGGCCGAAACTTCAAGTAGTTGGCTGAATGTGATTTTTTTGTTTACAGCGTTCGAAGGTGGTCAATCCTGACAGCTGCATTTTCAACAATTGTAATTGAATCATGAAAGGATTCTTGAATTTAAAATTTTCTTGCATCACATAATTTGGAAACAGCTTCTCTGCTGAGCACAATGGTTATGAATCTCATGCATCATATCTTGCCTCTTTCAATCCTGTCAGTGGCAAGATCACAGCTCCTCTGATAAGTCCAACTCAACTGAAGCACCTATCAAGTAAAATTGGCTCATTGACATGTGACTGAGAATGAAAGTTATTCTTAGGATTGTGTCACTCTTTGATATATATATGAGCCAGACAGTTCATGTGCTATTTGTTGATTATCTTGCTTTTTTAAAAATATATGTTACCCTCTCTCTCTCTCTCTCTCTCTCTCTCTCTACTGATGCCTAGAATGGGTTTCTTCCTCATTAATCTTGATATGCAATAATGCAATAGTTGTCTAATATGCAAATGCATGTGCTTGTCACTTTCTACCGTTGCATTTGCTACCATACTGATATTGAGGCTACTTGTCTTGTGAAAGATGTTGAGAAGTGTGAACCAATGCATGAAAAAATTTCACATCAAGAAGAGAGTACATTGCATACCCACTATCAAGTGAGCCCTTGCAGAACAAAGACTTTTTGATGTTTAGAAGGGCCAGATTCTTTCTCCATGTTGCCTTTATGAAGTTCCCTTTCAACTTCTTTGTTTCTATTTATGTTTGTAGCAATTTTAGATCAGAGTATTTGCTTCAGTTTCAAAACTGACGACATCCTCTCCATGGTTTTCCTTATGCCAATGACAAGGAGGGAGTTGAAGTGCCATGAAGAGCTACAGGCTGAGAGTATTGCCACATGCCACCTGCAACTCCTCTTCCTGCAGCAGTCTGCAGCATTTGACTGGGAGAGTGGAATTGATAATTTCCTTTTTCAGTTTGTCTTCAATATTCAAACACTAGGCACTGTGCAAAAGAAAGGAAAACAATTCCTCAATCCCTTTCAGACTGGATTTGGATGCATATAGTATTCAAGCAATATTTCTGTCTGTCATTCTGAAGAAACAGCTTACAGCTTGAGGACAAGTACAACCAGCTGGAAGCAAAGTAGGAGGATATCTAATCTCAGCTTCAAGTGGAAATTCACAAGGAAAATGAAATTCAAGGCCTACTGAAAGAACAAAGTCAATGCAAATCTATCTACAGAAGTCTTGATCATAAATTTTGATGGTGAGTTGTTCTTATACCTATATATTTCACTATTTATTATCTTAATTCCTTACTAATTTTTTCCCTATGAATTTTGGAAGACACAATGGCTGAAATCTCTAGGAACCTGTTTAACAGATATTCAAAAGCAACAAACGTTATGAGTTATAATTGATCTGTCTGTTTTGGTCATGCCAAGGCTCAACAGAACCCAATGAAGGGCTGGCTAGATAAAAAAGACACAACCCTCAAAAATGCAGATACTCCACTGTAACTAGCTGCTTGTAACATGCGACTTAAAAATCTTTTATGGAATTTGTGCCAGGATGAGACATCACTGGTTGACAGCTAAAGTTTCTTGCCTGTTTTTATTTTTATCAGTTTGGCAAAATTTTGTTAAATTTTCTGATCTATCTACTTTAAAAAGAACAAAAAATTCTTAGAATGAAACATGTAAAAAAAATTAAAGCAATTTTGTCATACAGTTGCATGCTTGGTGGAATTAGCTTTTGAGATTCTATGCAGAGAAGGCTACTTGCCATAACCTCTTAAGGTCATATGCCTAATTTTACAGATATGGCATCTCCAGCATTGAATTTTGAATTTCCTGCTTTACTTTTATAGGACTTGGGTGAAAGTTAGCATTAAGCCACTTTTGAGAGCTAAAGTTTAGTATTTGTCGAGGGGAATCCTGAAACCTATTCCATATAATTTCATAAGTTTCTCATGAGAGTATAGAAGAGAACAGAATGCTGGCTTTGGTTTGGTCTCAGACCTTCTCAGTGCAAACCTCTGTGCCTGTATTACTTCTTGCAACATTTCTCAAATGTAGAAACATACAAATACATTGCCTGAAGTAGAAATAATATCATACATTTAATTTAGTGCAAAGAGCAACTTGTTTTTTGCACAACTTGATACAACAGTGGTGTGAAAACCGACTCAGGAAATTGAAAAAAAAAGTGGCTTATGAGTTTTTCTTAACCTTTACACACTGAGCCTTTCCAAATTCAAATGGAACATGTCGACAGAAACTGTCAAATTTTGCCATATTCCAAGAGCATGGAATCTTCCTTTGCTATCCTATAAAAGGAAGATTCCATGCTGTTTGAATATGGTAACACTTAGTTTTTTCCACATAAATGCTGTGTTTATATGTGGTGAAATTTGTGAAAAAGGTCATAGTACGACAAACTTAAACCTTTGAAAGTACACATTTCCAATTACCTTAGAAACCAGTTAAACCTGGGTCGACAAAAACCTGACTCCTATGGTGTACTTTTCGATGTCCCAGTAAGTAAACCTTAGCCCCTCAATACAGTGAAAATTAATTAGTAGCAGAAAATATGGTTGTGATATGTACAGTAAAAGCTAATTCAATTCTAACATAGAAACTCCTACTTCCTGCTACAAGCCGATTTTATTATTATTTTGATATTCTGTGGTACAATGACCAGAGCACAATCTCTGTCATGGATTGGATCCATGTTGAAGAGAGTCACTGCTTCTTTCCTGCATATGTTTGATTCTCGTGCAGTGCCTTTATACGGTACAGTGATAGTAGAGGTAACATAGAATATTAAAATAAGATTAGCAAGTTTCAGCTGGTGTGGGGAAGCAGGGATTCCATGTAGAATTGAATGAGCTTTCATGCAGTATTAACAGATTTTCTGCAACTGACATTGTTTATACTGTTTGGGGGGGAGGGGAAGGTTCTTGGGTGACCCTGTATTTGAGATGCATCCTAGCTTTGGTAATGCATGGTTTTTTCTTGGTAAAAGCAATGAACCTCCATACTTCCACATCCCTACAGAATACTCTCTCCCAATATCCATAAAACATTGCTAGGAATAGTCACTGAATAAATTCATAGGTATGTTTTAATCTTCTTCATCTTAAGACTACTTCTTAAACTGTGGTCATCAGTTGTGGACTTACCTTTTTATAGAGAAGGGTCGTTCGGAAACAAAAATTTGTTGTTGTTGAAGGCAGAGCATATGGCAGATGAATGCTGAGAGATAATAGGAAAATACACAGAGAGGAAAAGAGTGCTTGCTTGCCGCAGGTACCACAACCTACATTACAGTCATTCGGGTAGGGATACCCCTCAATGGTCCTGCAGGAGGCCTTTGGGGCAGCTCATGGGCTGCCTAAACTCATAATTGACATAAGTGATAGTTGTACTGCACTTGTCTCCTAAACATGGCAAATTGAGTGGCATGTGTTAAGCCTGCTAAGCAGACACTCTCCTTGAAAACATATGGTTCACCTGTTGGTGAAGGAAGAGCCTGCTGGAGCTCTGGTTTCATTCAGAGTTTGGTACCATTCAGCTATCAAAACAAGTTGCATCTTCAGAAAACAGTTCAGTTGTGTATCAAGGATGCATCACTGATGAGGATCAAGGATACATCACTGATGAGACTGCAATAGACAGGGAGAATATAATGGTGATACCAAAAATGTACTGTATGCCCCTCATGTGAAATCCATTCTGGTTTCTTCCATGTCGTTACAACTTTCCATATACTAGGTGTCATTCGGGTAGGGATACCCCTCAATGGTCCTGCAGGAGGCCTTTGGGGCAGCTCATGGGCTGCCTAAACTCATAATTGACATAAGTGATAGTTGTACTGCACTTGTCTCCTAAACATGGCAAATTTAGTGGCATGTGTTAAGCCTGCTAAGCAGACACTCTCCTTGAAAACATATGGTTCACCTGTTGGTGAAGGAAGAGCCTGCTGGAGCTCTGGTTTCATTCAAGTTGCATCTTAAGAGTACAGTTCAGTTGAGTATCAATGATGCTTTAATACATCACTGATGAGACTGCAATAGACAGGGAGAATATAATGGTGATACCAAAAATGTACTGTATGCCCCTCATGTGAAATCCATTCTGGTTTCTTCCATGTCGTTACAACTTTCCATATACTAGGCATTAAAATTTGTTTTCTAATGCACTTGATCTCTGAAAATTTTTATTTGCGCTTCTGAGCTATATCTTCACAGACATATCTATTCTTGCAGGTGGACGTTCCCCACGGGATGAAATTGGACAGCACTGTTAAAGACATCTTCCACATCATGGAGTAAACAACCTATTTTTCTTGTAAGTTTGTGGTGGGTAAACGGATTAACAGCACCTGTTAACATATTGATCATGTGATGGTTGCTTCCAATGTGTTTTTTTTTAATTACACATTTCAAAATTGTTTTCTGATTTTCATCAAGAGGACTAATTATTTTTAGTGAATATGTGTTAATTATTTTTCAATAAGCCTCAATATTCCTTTTTTTAATTCAGGAATATATCCTATTTTCAAAACACATTCCGTTTAATGACTCCTGCAAATGCTCATGAAAAGGGGCGCACATATGTATCGTGAAAATGGATTCTGGATCTTTCCTAATGAAGTCAGACATTGAAAGGAAATGAAAAATTCCATGCATTTTATTTCTACTGCAAATACGCGTTTCGTCGATTAGACCTGCGAGACCATTAGAACATTAGATTAGACGATTAGACCATTAGAACACAAAAATCCAGCATCTTAACAGCTAATCAAGCTATTCCAAAGAAGGAGGATCGAAAGTAAGTAGATGCTTCACTCTTCAATATTATTGAAAGAAAGAAATTGGAAGGACAGCGTTAGTGTAAACATGACTTAGGGAAAGTGCCATTTAAAATAAATGACACTACCCAGGTAGCACATAACATTGATTCAACGTTGATTTGTTGTTGATCGAATGTTTCACTGTTGAAGGTTTATACTTCTATGGTGAATCAACATTGATTCAACGCGGTGACCATCACCGTTTATACACCTACATTGACTCAACATTGAATCAATGCTGCACTATTCACGGAGGAAGTGTCAACATTAAATCAACTTCGATTCAATGGATTCTTTCACGGTAAAAAAAAAAACAACCTTGTTTTTTATCTACCGTTTAGATTTTTTGTGTGTACTTCATCATGGTTCGTTGAGTTGTTTAGCCAATCGCCCAGAATACATTACGATCACCGAAAAATTCTTGATTTAGGGCAGATATGAGGGTGGCTGAAATGACGCCTGGCCTAAAGTCTATCGCAGCAAACAAGCAAAAAGAAAAAGAACTTCTCGCGAGCATCTTACATGGTGGAATTGTCTCAATACAAACGTAAAATCAGAAAAAGGAGATTCAATAAAAATCATATATATATGTGTGTGTTCGTTTGTAAAGCCAATTAATCGATTGACTTGGACATGTTGAAATCTAGGCATTTACCTTACTAATGAATGAAAGGGCATTTGTGAGGCTGGATCGGTGTGACCCATCCTATATATTAAAAACGCAATGAAGCTGCGTTCTTGCATATGAAGCGTCCGATGCTTGGGGTCTGTGCATCTCCGCAAGTCTATGTGCCCATGTGCGGCGCCTTCTGCCTGCCAAAGGGTGTACGTCTCCCTCTCTTGGGCTAGCACTTTTTTTTCGAGGCCTTTGCGATTGTTGGATATATTCTCGAGAAAGTTATAGCCCGAGGGGGATGGGGGAAGAGTTCGGGTAGCATAAGACGGCAAGAAAACAAAATGACGCAATCGGGAATCGAACCCTGGACTTCTTGATTCGTAAGCAAAAGTGTTACCACTACACCACTGTTATAGCCCGAGGGGGATGGGAGAAGAGTTCGGGTAGCATAAGACGGCAAGAAAACAAAATGACGCAATCGGGAATCGAACCCTGGACTTCTTGATTCGTAAGCAAAAGTGTTACCACTGCACCACAAAACTCGAATCTATTAAAATTTCTTTGAGATTAGGATTTCTTTTAATGGGAGAGAGGCATTCTACGAACCATCCTCGCATTCAAACGCGTACTGGGTTCGATCTCCGTTGAAGACGAAATTGATCAAAAATAAATTGGCGTTGGCAGGGGTTAAAATCGGAATGCGAACAGTAAGTTGAGGGTGACGACCTCAACTTCCCGCATAAACGCTGCCAGCGGCAGGCATTACAAAGAAAGCTCACATACGGACATACATATACTGAAGAAGTGTAGGAAATGGGTAGGGAGCCCGGGGATCCGAAAGGTGAGCCGACACATTGGGTCATGCAGGTCTGAGCTTCGAAGTAGTAATAAGTGGAGTAGCTGTAGCGCTTGAATCGTGGTGGTGGCAGATGTGTACACACTCCTTGGTACCGGGGTACAAATGGTCCATGTACTCCCCTGAACCGAGTTCCGCAAGGATATGGTAGGCTGTAGGCCAGGTGAAACTCGATTGGTGTAGTTGGTCATTAAAAAAAGGCCTCCGATTTTTTATGTTACGATGTATAGTTGCGAAATTTTGTCGTCTCTGTCTCCTCGGAAACCGAATTCCTGAATTGATGAAATATATTCAAGGGGGTATCAAGCTGGGTATTTATGTGGGCCATAAGGGGCATAGTGTAGGAGAAGTAACATGACGACACTAGTTAGATATATTATAATTAAGCTTGAACTGTAATGGCTGCTGAAATAATAATTCCTGCTTTTTAATTGATAATGCAGAACTTTTGTTCTGGGACAGTCTTGATGGTGCATGGTCATCATGTACAGTGTTTCTATTTGAATGTCTTTTTTTTCATCATTGCCGCGTAACATGACTACCTGAATATGGTGAATGCCTTTGACATGTATCGAAGTGCAAAAGCTTATCGAAAGAATGGACAGAATCACGTGAAACAACTTCGCCTGCGTCAGCATTGCTTATATGTTAAGTAAAAATACGCTTGAGTATGGCATCAATGCTTCAACATTGACTCACTGTTGACTGTTCATCCTCCTACGAATCGTCATTTGAGGCAGATACACTTGGGATCAGGAGGATGGCACTCTAAAAAAGTCGACTGACCCCAGCTGATACTTGCATCATATGTGATGGTTTCGCGCAATTAGTTGAATTTTTGCAATTCCGTGTTCATCCTCCGAAGAATCGTCATTTGAGGCAGATACACTTGATTTCAGTAGGATGGCACTCAGAAAGTAGACGGTCCGTTGCTGATACTTGCATCGTAAGTGATGGTTTCGAAAACGCCGTCGGATTTTCGCATTTCCGTGTTCATCATATGTGATGGTTTCGCGAAATTAGTTGGATTTTCGCAATTCCGTGTTCATCATATGTGATGGTTTCGCGAAATTAGGTGGATTTTCGCAATTCCGTGTTCATCCTCTTTCGATTCGTCTTTTGAAGCAGATACACTTGGTATGCAGAGGATGGCACTCTGAAAAAGTCGACTGACACCAGCTGATACTTGCATCATATGTGATGGTTTCGCGAAATTAGTTGGATTTTCGCAATTCCGTGCTCATCCTCCTTCGATTCGTCTTTTGAAGCAGATACACTTGGGATCAGGAGGATGGCACTCTGAAATAGTAGACGGTCCGCTGCTGATACTTGCATCGTAAGTGATGGTTTCGAAAACGCCGTCGGATTTTCGCAATTCCGTGTTCATCCTCCGAAGAATCGTCATCTGCGGCAGATATTCTTGGTTTCAGGAGGATGGCACTCTTAGAAAGTCGACTTATCCCAGCTGATACTTGCATCCGAAGTGATGGTTTCGTGAACGCCATCGGATTTTCGCTATTCCGTATTCCTCCTTCAATTCGTCTTCTGAGGCAGATACACTTCATTTCAGTAGGATGGCACTCTTAGAAAGTAGACGGTCCGTTGCTGATACCTATATCTTTAGTGATTGTTTCGCGAACGCCGTTGGATTTTCGCAATTCCGTGTTCATCCTCCGAAGAATCGTCATCGGGGGCAGATATTCTTGGTTTCAGGAGGATGGCACTCTAAAAAAGTCGACAGAACCCAGCTGATACTTGCATCATATGTGATGGTTTCGCGAAATTAGTTGCATTTTCGCAATTCCGTGCCCATCCTCCTTCGATTCGTCTTTTGAAGCAGATATACTTGGTATCCAGAGGATGGCACTCTTTAAAAGTGGACTGACCCCAGCTGATACTTGCATCATATGTGATGGTTTCGCGAACACCGTCGGATTTTCGCAATTCCATGTTCATCCTCGTACTAATCCTAATGTGCGGCAGATGCCCTTGGTTTCAGGAGGATGGCACTATAAAAAAGGCGACTGACCCTAGCTGATACTTGCATCATATGTGATGGTTTCGCGAAATTAGTTGCATTTTCGCAATACCGTGCCCATCCTCCTTCGATTCGTCTTTTGAAGCAGATATACTTGGTATCCAGAGGATGGCACTCTTTAAAAGTGGACTGACCCCAGC